TAGGTTTTCTCACCTGGTGTGAACATTTGGACACAGATTCTGAAAATTGAGATTTGAACTTTTGAAGATGAAAAGCAGGCGGAAAATGCACAAGAAAAGAAACTGGAAATTTAGTCCTTTAAAGATTGGAAGGAGTTTGTTTAGGAATGTGATTGCTTAATTTTTTATGCAATGTGAATTTTCTTAATCATCAAGAATAGATGGCAAAATAATTCACTAAGGATTCCTCTGACCAATATTTAAGGAATACCTACTGCACATCAGATATTATGTTAAGGAATAAAATGTAAAGGCGAATAAGACAAAATCCTTGTCCTCAAGTTTATAGACTCTGTGAAAGACAATTACAATGCAATGTGATGATTATTAGTACAAGTTTAAGAATAGAAATCAGATTTTGGAAAAGGTAGCATATAAACTAAGACCACAGTTTTATGTACAAGTAGACATGTTCACATTTCTTGGGAATAATTCATTTCAATAATCATAATTCAATTTGACAGTATTTTGAAAATAATTCTCTTAACATAAATTTTGGTTTTGGTCATTTTACTTAGGAGCTCTTAAATGTTCATTTAAGTAGCTCTTAAAGGTTCATTGATAAGTTTGAACAAAATCATCTATAGAAACAACTTTGATTTCCTTCTTAATACATTGTGAAGTGTTGATTATTAAACAAAGCATCCATTGTATTGTAGATGAGTTTTCTAGATAAGAGTGCAAATTCTTAACGTTACACATAAAATTTTATATTAAATTGTTTCATTTTAGTGGCCATCAATATTAGAAAATTCAAATTTAGCACATTTTAAAAAATATCAATTTTGGTTTTCATACATTTTATAGCTTTATTGTGATTTATCTGGATAGACAAATCATGCCTTTGCTAACCGGTGACTGTTGTTACGAATTTTGTTTTTAACTTATTGCCCTTTATTTGTTTGCAGTTCACAGTGTTGATAAATAGATAACTGTTGCTTTTCATTTTCCTCTTTTTGATAAATTGATAGTTTTTAAGCACAAAAGGGCTATTCTAACTCAGTAATTTACATAAAAATCATAATTAACTAGTCTTTCAAGACTACATTAAAATTATAATTCTTCTTACTCCCTTTTTAAAAGAATTTACCTTTTTATTTATTTATTCATTTATTTATTTATTTATTTATTTATTTATATGGTGCTGTGATTTGAACCAAGTGCCTCATCCATGCTAGGCAAGAGCTCTACCACTGAACTACAACCCCAGCTCCCTCTTATTCTTTATAGTACTTTTTGTTCAAATAAATTACAGCAGTTACAACACCTCACTTTTCAAAAATAAAATTGGCTTTATTCATGATTAAAGTCAATAATATAAAAACTATAATAATAACAAATAATAATAATAATATTACATTGTATCACAGGCTTTTCTTAAAAGGCTGGAGGACCATGAGTTCAAAGTCAGCCTCAGCAACTTAGGGAGGCCCTGAGCAACTCAGCAAGACCTTGCCTCTAAATAAAATATTAAAAAGGAATGGGATGTGACTCATTGGTTAAGTTCCTCTGGCGTCAATCCCTGGTACCACCCCCCCAAAAAAGCATTCCTTAGGATGCTCATTAGTCATGGGGAAGTGTTTTTTAGTCTTCAAACAAAAACAACAAAACACTCCATAGGATAGGATATCTCCATGTATAATGGTACTGATAGTAACTTCATCCCACATGACCAAAACACCTTTAGGTATTAATAATCTGTTTGAGAATCTGAAGACATATCATTTAACAACTTGGAATTTCTGCTGTCCTTCAGATCAAAACAGAAATGAAATATAGAAAAAAAAAATCAGTATATATCTGTTTCTGTCTTACAAGCCATAGGAGAAAAACTGACTGTAGTATCCTTCACTATATTTGCAAACTTATATTATGTGGGAACTCCAGTCATTTTCAGGTCCTTTTAGAATACATAGAAAATTGATATTGTGTACATGTGATTGCTAAGGAGCCCATGACACCTTGGTCTGAATTTATTGAGTAATTACATCTATTTCTCCTTACTTTCCTTTTTCTGATTGTTTCTGTAAATTAGGAAATATTTAAATATTTTCTAATGATCCTTCATTTTCATCCAGAAAAGTCAGTCAATATAACTACACATATTATTTAGATCCTACTGCCTAGTGATTGGAATGGTGCTTAAAAATACTTTAAAGTTAGAGTTCTTAATGGGGGCTGTTACCTTTGTTGTGGAGTGTTTCTTGATTCAGACATGTCCTGTGAACAGCCAGTACAGGACTGGTGCTTGGATGAGGTACTGGATGATACTGTGAGCAAGCAGTTTTAATTTTCTTACCACCTGATTAGTTTATCCTCTCAGCTTAATGTGATCATAATTATTTTTTCATAAATTCTTTTTTAATGGCTGGAACTGTTCTAATTCTTTTACATTCTTATGACCCTGATCTCTGCATAAACAACCTTGTAGGGTAGGTAACATGATCATGGTTTATAGACAGGGAAAATATAACTTGTTCAAGATCAGAAATTGAAGAGGAGCAGCTGAACTTCTATTTTAGAATTGTCTGATGGCAAAACCTAAGCACTTAACTGTTATCCTACATCATAACTACGGCTGCCTAGAACTCAAAGAGCCTGGTCTATGGGTCACTGATCACATGAATAGCTTTTCTTAGTGCTTGTCACCACTTCACACAGGCTGACCTTGTGGACCTCAACCTCACAACCATCTTGTGGCACTGACTTCAGAAGGGCAAAGATTATGGCTATAGATCACAAAGAATAGACCTGCTATTGAATCTGTATGCTGTATCAATTTATCTGCACAACCAAAGGGGTTTGCCATATCTCCTTTTGTCTAACTGGTAGTGTTGTCATAACAGTGTCTTTATACAGGATTAACAAGTAACTAATTTATTTACTTTGGTTGCCAATAAATAACTGTAGTCTGTTAATAATTGTGCATGTGTTTTATGTGGCTGTGTATATTTGAGACAATCTTACATTTCTGGCATCCTAGATGGGATCAATATTCCTTTATACTTAACCTTCTATTTTACTATATTTCCACTAACAAAAAGTAAATCACATAAAGAAAAGCTTAAGTATTTAAAATAATTTACCAGTATATTGTATAAGTGATACAGACTAATAAGTCTGAATCTTTTTTCAGTGTTACCTAAATATAAGTTTTTGTCCAATCTTAAATAAAAGAATAAACCTGACATGTATTTTCTTGCTTGAAAACATATCAGATCTTTCACAAATTCCATGAACTGTATTATGTTTATCTCTTCATATTTTTAACACTTTTAAATTGCTAACATGATGAAGGTAAGTTGTATCCTAATTTATCTTTTAGTGTATCAGAGTGCCAAACTTGACCTTACACATAGTAGATGCTCATTGAATGTTGTTGGCTTGATGAATAAATTAGTCTGTACTAGATTGAACAGATTTGCAGTCCTAAATTGTTCTTGCCATCATTTCACTCTGCATAATTAAGAAGTTTTACTGAGATGATTAAAAATGTGTTATTGAATTACTGGTGTAGATTCTAAAGCAGTGGGATAAAAAAGAACCTGAATATACCCCTATGAGGAAGCAATGAGAGTGTGTTTCTCACTGTAGGTACACCTAGTGGATTTTATGTGTGATTGAATTAATTTATTTCTCTTAGGAAGGTTAGATTTATGATTTCCATATGGCACTTTATAAGTTTATCTTTTACCCTTAACTCGCCAACTTATATTTTCCTATGATAAAAGTAATTAACTGTATATGAAAGTAAAAAGAAAAAAATTAGACACCCATAATTCTATCATCCAGATATAATCACCCTTAGTATTTCTGTTTTTAATTTTTTAATCTACATAATTTCATACTGTCTATGCAATTAATACCCTATCATAAAATTATCATTTTATAGATATTTCTATTGTTTTTATATTACATGAGATAGATTCCTGGAACTAAAATTACTGAGTAAAAATTTTGAACTTTGAGGTCTTGATATGTATATACTTTCTAGAAACTTACAATTTGCACTATCATTGGAAGTATATATAATACTATTTCATTAAGCCAGTGTCAAAATCATTTATCTATCTGTACTTTTAAGCAAGTGTTGTCAAGTAGAAATACTCACTTTAATACGTTGCTCTTGACAACTATGCTCAGAAATATATAAATTAAATATTGTATTTTGCTTTCAGAAAGAATTATGGAATTCTTGCTTTAGAGAATTCAGTTTGGAGGCTGCAGCTTACAATAGTTTCCTCCTAAACCAAATTATTTTTTGGTTCTGATTATAAACTACATACTTTTGTTTAAACTGGACTTAGTTTTCTATATTGATAACTACTTCACTGGAAGTTTTGTCAGTCAGTGTTTTGGGTTGAGGCATTAGGCATTATATCTGATGTAGTGTTAACATTCCTTCTTGTATCAATCTGTCTCATTTCTCTTCTCTGTTGTAACAAATTTAATGAGCATTCAAAATTTAGTTATGTTTATTTATGCATTTTTTTTGTGTGTGGACTGCTGTACAAAAGCACCTTCATTCCGTACCAATATTCTAGCCAAACTGAGTGCAAATGAGTCAGAGTAGTTTCATTTTAGAGAGCAGCAGTCATATTTGTATTAGGAAGGCAATAGTCTTGGATGAATACCAAAAAAAAAAAAATCATTTTTAAGTGTTTGCCTCGTCCTCTAGTGAAAGCATTTGCGTTTCAGAGGCCATGGTGAGTCTCAGTCCCTTGCTGGTGCCTGTTTTTGATAACATTTCTAAGAGGCTATATGTATTTGTGTGTATTCACACACATGAATTTAGTATGATCTGAAATATCTGATGAGAAATATATATATACATATATAATTTACCTTTTCTATTCACTGCAGTCTTTCCTACTTTTTTGCATAAATTGTCTCAACAAAGATACTAGATGTGACTCAGTAATTTAATTTTACTTATATGACATATTTGTTTTGCATTTCAGAGTACCAGATAAATTGCAAGTCTGTTGTGTCCCATAGCAGGTATGTATATGATTTACCTATAACTAAGTAAATCTGTGTATTAACTGAAAAATTACTACATTTTGTTTATTAAAATTCTTACAGATTTCCTAATATGAAAATGTTAATTTTTTAATATTGTACGTACAGATATTCACAGCTTCAAAGAACATTATATTTCATTCATACGTTGTATTTCATTTTATTGTAAGAATCAAATAAACATTTATAAAATTTGATGAGGCAGAATAATTTTAATTACAAAGCTTTCATCTTTGAAGATTAGATAGTATTTTATGGAACTGAACTATTAAAGCAACTGATGATGTGGGAACAGACTGTTACGGAACTACTGTGTTTTTGACATTATTGTTTTTCAAACTTTTTTGCTGTTTTCAAATTCATTTTCCATGGAGGTTGCTTTAGGTAAGGAGTGGTTGCAGATGTACTGTCTGCTGCACTGTCTCAAGCACTAGACAAATGGGAAAAAAAATGTTTGCACCTGTTTAAAATCTCAACCGTGCGGTGTTGTGGTTCCTGGGCAACAGGCAGGAATTCTCAAAAGCTTGGTTGCACCTGCTCAATTGTTGCTTGCAGCTGTGTCAGATGAGTAAGTGCACAGAGAAGCTTGTTAGCAGTTTGGTTCTGCTGTTATGTATTTGTATTTTTGTACTACGATTTTGAAAGATACTTCCTTGATGTAGACCTTGAACTAGTACATTCATTTATTTTAAAACTCACTAATTTGGGCTTCCAAAATATTTCCTCTGAATCCTCTGTGTGTGTGTGTGTGTGTGTGTGTGTGTGTGTGTGTGTGTGTG